GTAGAGGTCAGACATAACAGCAAAGTCTTCGAAACGACGTCGCCATTGACGGTATACTTGATATGTTGCATCAGATTGAAGAGGTGGGGGACTGGGAACTGAAGACTTGCTGTGCAGGGGTGTACTCGAGACGGCAGGCGGTGGAGGAGGCACGGAGAGGTCGACGAGAGTTGAGACTGGAACGGGTGGTTGAGAAGACACTGAGGCATACCTAGGGGAGATAGGTGACGTGTGAGGAGGCGTTGTCTGAAGGATAGATGAAGAGGCTGAAGCTGGCGAGTTGGTTGTGGCAGCTGGTGAAGTCGTCCTCGTTGCCAGCAATTCCAATAGGTCCAGGAATTTGCGGTTATCAGCTTGGTGTTGTTGTTGAAGTTGAAGGCGGTAAGCTGATTCCTCTGACTGTCTTGACAATTCCTCTTGACGTCGTTTTTCCTCCTCTAATTGACGTCTTTGGGCTTCCTTCTCTTGAGAAACTTGTAGGAAGTGGATTAACTGACGTATATCCTGGCTCCCATCCTTTGAATTTGGCGCGCCCGGCGTGTGAGGCGTGAGGGGGGTGGGAGGGTCTGTGAGGCGTCGTCTTCCTCATAATCCTCATATAAATTTCCCAGCAAATCGTCGTGGTCAGACATCTCGTGTTTGGTATTGTTGCGATGGGAAAGACAAGGAGAATAAGGTGAAGTGCTATATTTTCGCCAATGGATTTGCTTAAGTGCAGGAACTGGCTGGCAAGTAAAAGAGTACTGACTGTAATATTTGTGAAGTGAGAGGAGGCGGCTAGCGGCGGTGTATTCCTCCGCGCGCCCGGGCGAGATGCTGGTGGTAAGGGGACGCGGGCAGTGGCTTGCGAGCCTCCGTGGATGGGGGGTGTATGCCGGAAGTGCTGTCTTGGAAACTGGGCTGGAGGCGTGTCTGCTACCTGTAGGGCCGCAGAAACATAGCAAAGAGACATGAAAGGCACTGCACTTCACTTAGGGCACTTCACAAGGTCACAAAGCACTTTAAATCCAGGGGCACTGTGGAGTATATCTTCTGGGCGGGAAACAGACGAGGCCGGCAGACGGGGCCGGCTCTTGAGGCTTGTAAACTGTCGTGTTGGAGCTACTCAAACTGCGCCATGTGGTGTGGTGGATGTAATCCTAGACAAGGTTCTTGAAACTCCAGGGCACGAGCAGTAGGTATATTCAATAAGTGGTACAAGGCTGGGCGTGATAGCCAACCGATACAGGAGCGATTACTAGGGACCCCGGACCGTAGGTAGGCCGAGGCCGATCTGAGGGAAATTAGCTAGCCAGGCAAGGGGAGTTGCTAGACATTCCTAGGACAATAAATGAGGTCTTCTAATTACTCGACTAGCGCGGTACAGACATAGTACATCGGGACATAGTAAATGAACATAGGCATTAGACATAAGCATGGACATCAGACATGCTATAATAATATGTAGTAATACAGACATGTGAATAAATGGTACAATGAATGGTAACAAGAGTCCTGGTGTCAGGCGTGTTCACATATCTTGGTATGTACATATCTATACACCCACCAGTGCAACACGCCTGTGAAACATGGGTCGTTTAACGATGCAGATGGTCGTTAGAGAAACAATGAATGCTTGTTACAATACTAAATGAAGAAATAAGATGGGCTTGAACAAATAATAACAGTTAAAACTCTAACAGCACAGGGTAAGGTGACTAGACTATATAATAGTAAATATAACACATCATAACAGGAATAATATGGAACAACATGGAAGCATGTTATATATGAAAAAATAGAAAAATACGACATGGTCTTAACAACTCTTAACTGTTGTACTGTTAACTGTTGCACTGTTAACTGTTGTACTGTTAACTGTTAACTGTTGTACTGTTAACTGTTAACTGTTGTACTGTTAACTGTTGTACTGTTAACTGTTGTATTGTTAACTGTTGTATTGTTAACTATTGTACTGTTAACTGTTGTACTGTTAACTATTGTACTGTTAACTGTTAACTGTTGTACTGTTAACTGTTAACTGTTGTACTGTTAACTGTTAACTGTTAACTGTTAACTGTTGTACTGTTAACTGTTGTACTGTTAACTGTTGTATTGTTAACTGTAGTACTGTTGTTCTGTTAACTGTTGTGCTGTTAACTGTTGTGCTCTTAACTGTTGTACTGTTAACTGTTAACTGTTGTACTGTTAACTGTTGTATTGTTAACTGTTGTACTGTTAACTATTGTACTGTTAACTGTTGTACTGTTAACTGTCGTACTGTTAACTGATAACTGTTGTACTGTTAACTGTTGTACTGTTAACTGTTGTACTGTTAACTGTTGTACTGTTAACTGTTGTACTGTTAACTATTGTACTGTTAACTGTTAACTGTTGTACTGTTAACTATTGTACTGTTAACTGTTAACTGTTAACTGCTGTACTGTTAACTGTTGTATTGTTAACTGTTGTACTGTTGTACTGTTAACTGTTGTGCTGTTAACTGTTGTGCTGTTAACTGTTGTACTGTTAACTGTTATCTGTTGTATTGTTAACTGTTGTACTGTTAACTGTTGTACTGTTGAGTGTTGTACTGTTAACTGTTAACTGTTGTATTGTTAACTGTTGTACTGTTAACTGTTGTACTGTTGAGTGTTGTACTGTTAACTGTTGTACTGTTAACTGTTGTATTGTTAACTGTTGTGCTGTTAACTGTTGTGCTCTTAACTGTTGTACTGTTAACTGTTAACTGTTGTATTGTTAACTGTTGTACTGTTAACTGTTGTACTGTTAACTGTTGTACTGTTAACTGTTGTACTGTTAACTGTTGTAGCTGTTAACTGTTGTACTGTTAACTGTTGTACTGTTAACTATTGTACTGTTAACTATTGTACTGTTAACTGTTAACTGTTAACTGCTGTACTGTTAACTGTTGTATTGTTAACTGTTGTACTGTTGTACTGTTAACTGTTGTGCTGTTAACTGTTGTGCTCTTAACTGTTGTACTGTTAACTGTTATCTGTTGTATTGTTAACTGTTGTACTGTTAACTGTTGTACTGTTGAGTGTTGTACTGTTAACTGTTAACTGTTGTATTGTTAACTGTTGTACTGTTAACTGTTGTACTGTTAGTGTTGTACTGTTAACTGTTGTACTGTTAACTGTTGTATTGTTAACTGTTGTGCTGTTAACTGTTAACTGTTGTACTGTTAACTGTTAACTGTATTGTTAACTGTTGTACTGTTAACTGTTGTACTGTTAACTGTTGTACTGTTAACTATTGTACTGTTAACTGTTAGCTGTTAACTGTTGTACTGTTAACTGTTGTACTGTTAACTATTGTACTGTTAACTATTGTACTGTTAACTGTTAACTGTTAACTGCTGTACTGTTAACTGTTGTATTGTTAACTGTTGTACTGTTGTACTGTTAACTGTTGTGCTGTTAACTGTTGTGCTCTTAACTGTTGTACTGTTAACTGTTAACTGTTGTATTGTTAACTGTTGTACTGTTAACTGTTGTACTGTTAAGTGTTGCACTGTTAAGTGTTGTACTGTTAACTGTTGTACTGTTAACTGTTAACTGTTGTACTGTTAACTGTTAACTGTTGTACTGTTAACTGTTGTACTGTTAACTTTTGTAATGTTAACTGTTAACTGTTGTAATGTTAACTGTTAACTGTTGTAATGTTAACTGTTAACTGTTGTACTGTTAACTGTTGTACTGTTAACTGTTGTACTGTTAACTGTTGTACTGTTAAGTATTTTACTATTAACTGTTGTACTGTTATGTGCTGTACTGTTAACTGTTGTACTGTTAACTGTTAATTGTTGTACTGTTAACTGTTAACTGTTGTACTGTTAACTGTTGTACTGTTAACTGTTGTACTGTTAACTTTTGTAATGTTAACTGTTGTAATGTTAACTGTTAACTGTTGTAATGTTAACTGTTAACTGTTGTACTGTTAACTGTTATGCTGTTAACTGTTGTGCTCTTAACTGTTGTACTGTTAACTGTTGTACTGTAAACTGTTGTACTGCTAACTGTTATACTGTTATCTGTTGTAATGTTAACTGTTGTACTGTTAACTGTTGTACTGTTATGTGCTGTACTGTTAACTGTTGTACTGTTATGTGCTGTACTGTTAACTGTTGTACTGTTAACTGTTAATTGTTGTACTGTTAACTATCGTAGTGTTGCACTGTTAACTATTGTACCGTTAACTGTTGTACTCTTAACTGCTGTACTGTTAACTGTTGTACTGTTGTACTGTTAGCTGTTAACTGTTGTACTGTTAACTGTTGTACTGTTAACTGTTGCAATCTTAACTGTTGTACTGTTAACTGTTGCAATCTTAACTGTTGTTCTGTTAACTGTTGTACTGTTAACTGTTGTACTATTAACTGTTGTACTGTTAACTTTTGTACTGTAAGTGTTTACTGTTAACTGTTGTACTGTTAACTGTTGTACTGTTAACTGTTAATTGTTGTACTGTTAACTGTTGTACTGTTAACTGTTAATTGTTGTACTGTTAACTGTTAATTGTTGTACTGTTAACTGTTTACTGTTAACTATTGTACTGTTAACTGTTGTACTGTTAACTGTTAATTGTTGTACTGTTAACTGTTAATTGTTGTACTGTTAACTGTTTACTGTTAACTATTGTACTGTTAACTGTTGTACTGTTAACTGTTAATTGTTGTACTGTTAACTGTTGTACTGTTGGTTATGTTGGTTATATTTAGTGTCCCCTTACTTATGCCCCACCCTGTATGTTTGTTATATTTGGTGTATAATGTCTCCTAACTTATGCACCACCCTGTAACACTCGACAGATGAAATGTTTCCTAACTTATGTTGTTATACGCAGTAAATAATTTCTCTACTTATTTATGCACAACCCTGTAATCTTGAATAGATGAAATGTCTACTTACTTACGCACCACCCTGTAATATAGTCATGGCTGAATCATCATTATTGACAAAACAAAACAACTTGTTCGTGGCAACCCTCCAGAGTGTTCACTGATGTACAACCAATATTAACGTGGGTGGGTGTTTGTTGAAGTTAAACTGCTCAGCAAACAGCGTGTGATTCTTGAACCTGTGTTTTAATTGTTTTATTCAGTATAGCCAATTCTTGAACCCGTGTGTTTGATATTGATCAGTATAGCCAATTCTTGAACCTGTGTTTACTTTTTATCGGTATAGCCAATTTTTTAATGTTTTTATTTTTGTTCAGTATAGCCAATTTTGTAACCTGTGTTTTTATTGTTTTGATCAGTATAAGACAGACAGGCCTTGGGTAAAACTGGTAGATCTAAGTCTTCTTTGTTTTCAATCACATCTGAGTCTGTGATTCCTTATTCAAGGTATTTTATGAAAATGTTTCTAAACTTCCTGATCTCTCAGCATTTACAAGGAGACAGGAAGGCCAAGCAACTGTGGGTCATCATTCATTGTTTTTATATGGTGATACTACAATTTCTTGGCCTGATATTTGCCCCCAAATGATCTCTGAAATTAAGTAGATGAAGTCTGGGCTAAAATAATGAAAGACTTAACATTCATTCCCTCAGATAGGAATGCTCACAAGTTTAGTTTTTTGAAGTTCCAATTTAATGACTCCATTCCCCCATGAGGAACTCTCAACATTCTCTCCCAAGCCCCTCACAAATAATGATGAAAATAAACTGTTTTGGTTCTCTTCCTTTATTTTAATGTTTTCAATCATCAAACAGAATTCATATTTTGTTACAGTTCAATGGGATGGATGACATTGTTTCCTTTCAGTCAGTCGACTGATTCGAGGTTGGGTCATTGATAAAGCACATCTCATGCCTGGGTCCACATATAACCGGCTTCGGCTTTTATTCTTTATTTGAAGGAGGAGAAACCAGATTCACATAAATAAGTAGTAGGAAATGGCAAGAGGACTCTAAGTGCAATTTCACTAACTTTTGATATGACTGATACATTGAGCACCAGAATACAGTCGGAGATTTTTCTTCATAGAGGTCTCTGGCAGGAGAATCGTTCCTGAAATTAAGGAATTCGTCCTGACCATCGTCGGGAATGCCAGTGAAAGGATTCCTCATCAATTTCCCTTCTTCCTCCTCGAATTCTAGGAAGTACCTTTTGAGCTCACTTTCCAAGGATTTCAAGAGCTGAATTATTTCATTTTTGAGTGATGGGTCAAGTAGATGATCCTCTTCAATCTCGTCAAGAACAGTTGAGAGATTCTCAAACATGGCAACATTTGCTGCACTGACTTTCCTTTGCCAGTTCTGGAGCTTGTCAAGAAATGCACGAATACAATACATGTGGTGAAACATTTCTTTCCTTGCCTTGTAGCTTGAGATTCAGCCTGTTTAGCTGCTCCAATATGTCTGCCAGGTACGCAAGACGTGGCTCCCACAACACCCTGTTGAAGTGACTTAGTAGATCATCCTTCCCTTTCATTTCCAGGAACAACTTCAGTTCTCCCCGAAGTTCAAACACTCGATTCACAACATTACCCGTGGAAAGCAATCGCATTCTAGAGTAAAAGAAGAGGGTTTCATGCTCTGAATCCATGCCTCTACAGAGGTTTGGAAAAGGCGAGAGTTCAAATCTCCTGTTTTCACAAAGTTGACGCATTTTACCACTGCCTCCAGGATCTTGCAAAGGGCATCAGGGAGGAGGGTTTTTGACGCCAGTGCAAAACGATAGATAATAAATTGAACCCCTTTGGCACTCGGAGCTCCTTCCTTGACTTGCTTCTGTAACCCTGATTTCGATCCCAGCATTGCCGGAGCCCCATCAGTACAGACTTCACAACAATTTTCCCAGGTGATCCCGTTAGCTGTGAAGAAAGAAGTCAACTTTTCCATCACATCTAAAGTTGTTGTGGTAGTTTCAAGCTGTGCACAGAACAGATATTCATCCTTGATATCACGCAAGAATACATACCTAACAAACACGAGTAGTTGTGCACAAGAACTCACATCCGTTGACTCATCCAACTGTATTGCAAACATACCAGTTGGAGACGATTTAATTTCCTGTGTAATGGCGGAAACGATCTTCCTGCTAGTTACCGCTGCTCACTCACTCGTTTGCTGGCGCGTCCCCCACTTGGGAGGGTTGGACGGAGGTGAGAACGTCGCTGCTACCAGTGTCACGGGCTCAGATTCTACCCAGCCGTCATTACAGTCACTACCTCCCCACTGTTCGTCAAATTCTGGCTGTGATCTCATCAAAGGCTCTGGACTCGTGGGCTGTGTTCCCAGACTTTCACCTATCGACTGTCAATCTCTGGACCCCATACCACTGCCTCGGCTTCCACGACCGTCAGTTCATCTCCTCCGTCTGTGCTCCGGTGTTTCTCCTGCTGTACCAAGACATCGGCGGCTGTCGCTCGAGTGAGGAGCTTAATGGACCTTTTCTCTGAGAGTGGATCTCTGCGTGCCAGAACCTTCCCCAGGGCCGCTGCCATAGGAAATATCTGTTCATTGTTTGATTCTATTAGTTGTTGATTCCCATTAATTGTTTGATTCCATTAATTGTTTGCTTCCATTGTTTGATTCCATTAATTGGTTGACTCCATTAATTGGTTGACTTCATTAACTGTTGACTGCTTTAATTGTTTGACTCCCGCAATTGTTATTTCATGTTTGCTGAGTGGTGTCAGAGTTTTGTGTTATATTTTTATAGTAAAGAGATGTCAATCTCAAACGGTTGTTTGTTGTTCCTCAGAAAACCCTGGTCCTTGACTTTCCTTTTTTAAGATCCTGTTTAGGCTGGTAAGGGATTTCTGTCCTTAAGTCCCAGGCCTTTACATCCTGTATCACTTGTTCCATGACATCATCTGATATTTCACTAATTCTCCATCTCACCGTGTCGTCCTACAAGGAAATCTGCTGAATCTTATATTCTCTTTCCTCTCCAAGAACCCGCTTGACTATCTTTAAAGCACACGCTTTAATTAAAGTTTCAACAATCGTGTGGGCGTCTTCTTCTTTACTATTTCAGTGGAGACTTCATATGATGCCGCAACTACACTTAAGTTCTGTTGTTGGAAGGCAACACTCTCATCCAGTCTCTGTTTTCCCAAACTCCGTTCATGGGTCATGGCGCTTGAAGAAATCGGGGTCTCTCTCCGCATACTGGGAGAGATCGTCATCAGATGATGCTTCAGCTTACTAGGCCTCATGGAATCGTTCCCCAGCACTTTGAAACACAACACACACCGAGGTTTCTCGATGCCATCAGCGAGGATTGATGTAAATCCGTAGTTAATGTATTCAGCGTTGTATTTCCGCTTTTTAGCAACACTTACAGCCATCTCAAATCTAAGGAAATAAAAAAAAATGTCAAACAGACGAATGATAAAGACTAAAAATTATAATAATAAAAAACAAAAATGAGACAATAATCCGAATGGCAAACACACAAACCTGCAGGAAGTCCATACTTACTGTATGTAAACATACATTAAATGCCTAAGCAGTCACACGTGAAACATACACATACAGTACGCGCGCAGTACACTCACATATTTTCCTTATGATATCTTGAGCCAGACTGAGAACATTCGGTCTGATCACCACTTGTAAAGCGATGACACACGGACATGTATAGTACATGTGAGATCAGTGTCCAGCGCCCGTCACCCTGCTGACAAGAACTAGAATCGTGCAATCTGAGCGAATCCATTGGAAATTAAAAACTAGCTGCTGCACCATACTATGTAAATATCAAAACTGTACCATACAGGTATTATCATTACACACAATGACAAAAAAAAATAAGAAGAAAAAAAAACATTCTCCCCGAACAAGACAAAGTAACAAAAAAAGTTGAATGAGTTTCCACATTTTCTCCAAACATATACTACTTACACTAGCCCGCCATGGCCCCCAAAAATCTTGTTGTGGCCCCCAGTTTGAGAAACACTTAGCCTTTAGCCAAAACAATCGACCGTACCAAAAATTTTTATTATCGATGTACAGTTGTGGTCACACTTCCCTGTACACACGGCATCAACTTGTGGTCACATATGATCGGGTTACATATAATAACGCTGCTTTTCGTCGAGTGTTATGTCTCAACCACTCACTAAAACACTCCTTAATACAGTGGAAAATCTGAGAAAATACGTTAAAAGCCAAAGAAAAATCTTAATAAATACATTAAGATTGAGAGAAAATTAGTGAAAATTGAAAGAAAACTCTTAGAAAATACTTTGAAACCTAAAAAAAAAAAAAAAAAAATTCAATCTCCTAACCTAATGATTCTCAACTACTCATATGCTAGATACTGCCAAGAATCCAGGAATTTTGTCCGCAATTGTACATAATAATATAATTGGTGCAATTATCATATGAAGCAAGAGAGAGAGAGAGAGAGAGAGTCATCATTACCACTACACTCACACACTATCAATAGAAAGGTTTTATCTAAACAGGAATCCACCATGTGAAGCCTTCAATGATTCATTAGGAGGGTTCACTGAGCAGGGAGCTTCAGGCATCAGTGATTCGGTTCATAGCTAACAGCCCGACACCACCGATTCTGATCACGATGACTCCTGGTTCGTGTTGGTTCGTTCAATGGTTCCTGGTTGGTTCATTTGATGATTCATGGTAGGTCTGACAAGAGCGGTATAAGGTAATGGTTGTGACATGATCACTATAAGGTAATGGTTATGACATGAGGACTGAGGTTGTGATATGAGCACTGTAAGATAATGGTTATGACATGAGCAGTATAAGGTAATAGTTATTACATGAGCAGTATAAGGTAATAGTTATGACATGATAAGTATGTGGTAATAGTTATGACATGACAAGTATATGGTAATGGTTGTAAGTTTCAGTAAATAGAACTATGAGTAAGATTGGTTTGGTTTACATCACACACTAATGCACACACTAATCTAAGTTACCAACAAGAACATCGTTCATGGGTGGTCTTAAATCTTAATTGGGTTTTATTTTATAACGTGAAAAATGATCACTGTTTATCACTTTCTGAACCTATAAAGTAAGATACTCAACAGGTAGTAGAGTTATGAGATTTTCACCTCAAGTGGTTTGGTTCAGATACCTCGCTAAAAACACCGTTTCGGACCATTACAAATACGGCTTTGTTCCTCAGGTAATTTCTGGTTCGTAACGCCTTCAATTGAACCTTATTTCCGTAGTCTCTTAAGCGGGATTTATGAGGCAGTGTTTTGATCTTGTTCATCAGGTTCAGCTGCCTTATAAACAACACTGTGTCTAGTCATACCAATTATAGTTTAGTTTTGGTCCTGGTTCATAGTACTTGAAGTTGAACCCCTCATGTGTATCATCTGGAGCTCTATATTAAGAGTTTAATAAGGTTCACTGAGCAAGGACGTTCAGCTCGGATGATTCAGGTCAGCTGCCCAACTAACAACACCAGTTCGAATCAAAATAATTGAAGATTTAGTGTTTCATTTAATTTTTTGTTCAAGGTTAAAACATCTTTCCTGGGAGTGCCTGAAGTTGAACCTTGATGATATTGAACCTTGATGATGTTGATCCTTGATGATGCTGAACCTTAATGATGTTGAACCTTGATGATGTTGAATCTTGATGATATTGAACCTTGGTGATGTTGAACCTTGGTGATGTTGACCCTTGGTGATGTTGAACCATGATGATGTTGAACCATGGATGATGTTGAACCTTGGTGATGTTGAACCTTGGTGATGTTGACCCTTGGTGATGTTGAATCTTGATGATATTGAACCTTGGTGATGTTGAACCTTGGAGATGTTGACCCTTGGTGATGTTGAACCATGATGATGTTGACCCTTAGTGATGTTGAACCTTGGTGATGTTGAATCTTGATGATATTGAACCTTGGTAATGTTGGCCCTTGGTGATGTTGAACCTTGATGATGTTGAACCTTGATGTTGAACCTTGGTGATGTTGAACCTTGATGATGTTGAACCTTGATGATGTTGAACCTTGGTGATGTTGAACCTTGATGATGTTGAACCTTGGTGATGTTGAACCTTGATGATGTTGAACCTTGGTGATGTTGAACCTTTGTGATGTTGAACCTTGATGATGTTGAACCTTGGTGATGTTGAACCTTTGTGATGTTGAACCTTGATGATGTTGAACCTTGGTGATGTTGAACCTTGATGATGTTGAACCTTGGTTATGTTGAACCTTGGTGATGTTGAACCTTGATGATGTTGAACCTTGGTGATGTTGAACCTTGATGATGTTGAACCTTGGTTATGTTGAACGGTGATGATGTTGAACCTTGGTGATGTTGAACCTTGATGATGTTGAACCTTGGTGATGTCGAACCTTGATGATGTTGAACCTTGGTGATGTTGAACCTTGATGATGTTGAACCTTGGTGATGCTGAACCTTGATGAAGTTAAAGGTGATGTTGAACATTGGTGATGTTAAACCTTGGTGATGTTGAACGCCGATAATATTGAACCTCTAAATTCTGGGCTCCGATAACATTGAACCCCGCTAATGTTGAACCTGATGATCAACTGAACCTCATGGTGAACAAATTGTCTCCTGTTCTTTTAAGTTTCGATTCAAGGTTTAATTGCTTCGTTGTTCCGAGTTGATCCGAATAATGACTCCTGTTCTCAGAACCCCATGTGAAGGAAATGTAGATAGATAGACAGATAGATAGATAGATAGATAGATATTCAGTAAAATAGTCATACAGTCACATTGATTCAGCATGTATATAGACAGTACAGGCATACAAACAATGATCATACACTCTCAGATATAAACAATACTGCAGAACACAGTGAGTTACTGAAGGGTGGGGGTAAGTACTGGTCTTTTTCTCTTTTTCTTTCTCTTTTTGTTTATGTATGACTTCATCCCCCTCCCCTTCTCTCTCTCTGTACGTCCTTGGAAGAGTGGTTCTCAACCATCTCATGTTTTAAGTCAAAGACAAACTGGCCCTTAATCTGTATGGGTTTATGACCGGCGCAGCACACAAACATGCCTTCCAGAATTTCTTGTTCTCTGGGAGGATAAGAAACTAACAGCCTCCATAGACCTTAAATCAGCTTTTGGCGTAGCTAATCGAGACATTATACTTGAGCAACTAGCTAGTTTTGGCATTCAAGGTAACCTCTTGACAGTGTTCTGTTTAGGGGAGTCAAAGGTGCCAGAATTAGAGCATCTGAGCTTGGCACGCCTCAGGGAGAAGGGTTAAGTCCTATGCTCTTTAATACACTGATGCACAAGCTTATTGCTGACATTCCAGTTCAGCCAAACAAAGCTGTAATATGTTATGGTGCAGACCAAGCCCAGGCTCCAAGCCTCACTGGATGTATGCTCTCAGAAGACAGTGGAATGTAGTCTCATAACGACAAGACGAGGGTCCTCAGTCCTCGCTCTGCTCACCCCCTTAACTTTAACATTAACAACGTGGCCCTGGAACTTTGTAGTTCTCACAACTCTTGAACTTTATTCACATGTAGTTGACTTTCATGCTCTACATCTTGTTACTCTTCCTTACAAACAACTGAACAGCCTGGAGGCAGGACAAAATGAAGCCAGGCACATCATCATAGGCTGCCCTAATTCTACCACAATTGTAAACATGAGGAAAGAACTAGGGCTTCCCTCTCTATATGATGAGGCATCTCTTCCTTTTTCTTCCCCTCCCTCCTCTCCACTATTCACTCTTCCCTTCTTACTTTCATCTCATTCTTTCCTTATTATCTTAACTTTCTAACTTCTTCTCCTCCTCTTCCTCCTTTCTCCCCCCCCCCTTCTCTTCCACCTTTTCACCTCCCTTTCCTCTTCCTTTTCTCTGTCATCTCTTTTGTTCTATCTCCTCCTCTTCTTCTTCCTCCTCCTCCCCCCACCAGGAGCATGGGTGGGGGGCTTACGGAGACACAGTCGGTGTACCTTGCTGGGTTGTGCGTGACGGTGATCAGGTCATGGCGTGGAGGTACCAGGAGCAGGAGGAGGAGGAGGAAGAGTAGGAGGAGGAGGAGTTGAAGGAGGAGAGGAGGAAGAAGAAGAGAAGGAGGAGGAGAAAGGGGAGGGAGGAGGAGGACGACGACGAGAAGGTAAGAAGAAGCTGGAGAAGGAAGAAGAAGAGAGGAGGAGAAAGAGGAGGATGGGGAAGAGAAGGAGGAGGAGGAACAGGAGGAATAAGACAGCCTGATGGACACTGTACTCGATCACCTACACTTCCCAAACTATAAGGGGAAGTGTTGCTTGATGTTTCCCGGCACTTCTGGTTGTGTTTGGTTAGGTTAGGTTAGGGCTTAGCCAGAGGTGAAGGGGTACCGGTCAGTCTGGTTGGTGGTTATGGACAATGATCAGCTTCCTAGTGAGGCAGCCATTTACAGCTGGGAGTGCCCTGGGATCGAACCAACGACCTTTAGGAGAGGATACAAGTGCTCTATCCAGTCGACCACCCCACATAAATTAAACTCTATTGATGAATAACACTCGTAGAATCTCTCTCTCTCTCTCTCTCTCTCTCTCTCTCTCTCACATACCATCGATCCCTTCACCTGAACCATCAACACCATCTGTCAGAGAGAGATAAAGAGATCAGGAAGATAAGAGGTCCATTAGAGATGTCTCACCATGGCTGGTGATGAGGGGGAGGGGGGTTAATTTATGGTTAGGTTAGGTTAGGTTAGGTTAGGTTAGGTTAGGTTAGGTGAGGTTAGGTTAGGTACATTGTTCAGCCTCATTCATGTTAAAGATAAACATTAACTGCGTCTGATGTTGTGAAGAGAAACCGTCCGTGTTCCGTGTGGCTGAACCTTCGTCAACAACGTGAACTCTTATTGTGGCGGTGCTGCCTGTACACACACACGTACACACACACACACACACACACACACACACACACACACACAGGTGGAGGCTCACGTTGTTACTCACACCTTGAGAATCGTTGTCTTTTTCACCTGCCTATGATAACCCTTATCTAGTGACACATGCTGCCCTCCTTCACCTGCACCTGTCCTCTTAAGCCCTCCCACCTGTTCACCCTTTCACAGGTGTTCGCAGGTGTCCCGTACCAACATAACTACATCTGTTCCTTGTTAGAATACGACTGCAGGTGTTCTACCCCCTTACGCTTCCGTCCTCACACATGTCCAATTTACATTTGTTTTCCACTTACCACGTGTCCTCTGTGTCCTATACATAGTACCTACAGCCATGTCCCATACCCTGGTGCCCTCACCGCCACTCACTGAGCCTCTGGTCCTCACAGCCACTCACTGGCCTCTGGTCAGTTGCAGCCACTCACTGAGCCTCTGGTCCCTTACAGCCACCACTGAGCCTCTGGTCCCTTACACACTCACTGAGCCTCTGGTCCCTTACAGCCACTCACTGGGCCTCTGGTCCTCACAGCCTCTCACTGAGCCTCTGGCTCACAGCCACTCACTGGAGCCTCTGGTCCCTCACAGCCACTCACTGAGCCTTGTCCCTGACAGCCATTCTTCACTGGGCCTCTGTTCCTAAAGCCACTCACTGGAGCCTCTGGTCCCTGACAGCCACTCACTGAGCCTCTGGTCTCACAGCCACTCCCCTGAGCCTCTGGTCCTCACAGCCATTCACTGCCTCTGGGCCCTCACAGCCACTCACTGAGCCTCTGGTCCTGACAGCCACTCACTGAGCCTCTGGTCCCTGACAGCCACTCACTGAGCCTCTGGGTCCCTGACAGCCACCACTGAGCCTCTGGTCCCTGACAGCCACCACTGAGCCTCTGGTCCTCACAGCCACTCACCGGAGCCTCTGGTCCCTGACAGCCACTCACTGAGCCTCCCTGTAGCAGCCACTCACTGAGCCTCTGGTCCCTGACAGCCACTCACTGATCCTCTGTCCCTCACAGCCACTCACTAGCCTCTGGTCCTCACAGCCACTCACTGAGCCTCTGGTCCCCACAGCCACTCACTGAGCCTCTGGGTCCTTGACAGCCACTCACTGAGCCTCTGGTCGCTTACAGCCACTCACTGAGCCTCTGGTCCCTCACAGCCACTCACTGAGCCTCTGGTCTTCATAGCCACTCACTGAGCCTCTGGTCCCTGACACACTCACTGGAGCCTCTGGTGCTTAAAGCCACTCACTGAGCCTCTGGTCCCTCACAGCCACTCACTGAGCCTCTGGTCATCACAGCCACCACTGAGCTCTGGTCCCTTACAGCCACCACTGGAGCCTCTGGTCCCTCACAGCCACCACTGAGCCTCTGGTCCTCTCACAGCCACCACTGGGCCTCTGGTCCCCACAGCCACCACTGAGCCTCTGGTCTCTCACAGCCACTCACTGAGCCTCTGGTCCCTCACACTCACTGAGCCTGGTCCATCACAGCCACCCACTGGGCCTCTGGTCCTCACAGCCACTCACTGAGCCTCTGGTCCCTGACAGCCACTCACTGAGCTCCTCTGGTCCCAAAGCCACTCACTGAGCCTCTGGTCCCTCACAGCCACTCACTGAGCCTCTGGTCCTCACAGCCACTCACTGAGCCTCTGGTCCTCACAGCCACTCACTGAGCCTCTGGTCCTCACAGCCACTCACTGAGCCTCCTGGTCCCTCACAGCCACTCACTGAGCCTCTGGTCCCTCACAGTCACCACTGAGCCTCTGGTCCCTCACAGCCACTCACTGGGCCTCTGTCCTGAGCCTCAATCCTCTGGTCCTCACAGCCACTCACTGAGCCTCTGGTCCTGACAGCCACTCACTGAGCCTCTGGTCCTCAGCCACTCACCGAGCCTCTGTCCCTGACAGCCACTCACTGAGCCTCTGGTAGCTTAAAGCCACTCACTGAGCCTCTGGTCCCTGACAGCCACTCACTGAGCCTCGTCCTCACAGCCACTCACTGAGCCTCTGGTCCCTGACAGCCACTCACTGAGCCTCTGGTGGCTAGCCACTCACTGAGCCTCTGGTCCCTCACAGCCACCACTGAGCCTCTGGTCCATCACAGCCACTCACTGAGCCTCTGGTCCCTTACAGCCACTCACTGAGCCTCTGGTCCCTACAGCCACCACTGAGCCTCTGGTCCCTCACAGCCACTCACTGAGCCTCTGGTCCCTCACAGCCACTCACTGAGCCTCTGGTCCCTCACAGCCACCACTGAGCCTCTGGTCCTCACAGCCACTCACTGAGCCTCTGGTCCATCACAGCCACTCACTGAGCCTCTGGTCCTCAGCCACTCACTGAGCCTCTGGTCCCTGACAGCCACTCACTGAGCCTCTGGTCCCTTAAAGCCACTCACTGAGCCTCTGGTCCTCACAGCCACTCACTGAGCCTCTGGTCCCTCACAGCCACTCACCGAGCCTCTGTCCCTCACACACTCACTGAGCCTCTGGTCCCTCACAGCCACTCACTGAGCCCTCTGGTCCCTCACAGCCACTCACTGAGCCTCTGGTCCCTCACAGTCACCACTGAGCCTCTGGTCCCTCACAGCCACTCACTGAGCCTCTGTCCCTCACAGCAACTCACTGAGCCTCTGGTCCTCACAGCCACTCACTGAGCCTCTGGTCCTCACAGCCACCACTGAGCCTCTGGTCCCTTACCAGCCACTCACTGAGCCTCTGGTCCCCACAGCCACTCACTGAGCCTCTGGTCCCTCAGCCACTCACTGAGCCTCTGGTCCTCACAGCCACTCACTGAGCTTACTGCAAGACTCCAACCACTTTAGGGCTCTGAGTTGGTCCATAGTTTGAAGCAAGTCACCAATGTCTTTCTCATGTCTTTGTTATAGTATTGAGGGCCTTCTGCCTTTGTGTGTGTGTGTGTGTGTGTGTGTGTGTGTGTGTGTGTGTGTGTGTGTGTGTGTGTATTGTTGTGTATATTTCAAGTTACAGTGTACAGTAAGAAGAAGAAGAAGAAGAAGAAGAAGAGGAGGAGGAGGAGGAGGAGGGGAGGAGGGGAGGAGGGGAGGGGGAGGGAGAGGAGGGGAGGAGGAGGAGGAGGAGGAGAAGGAGGAGGAGGAAGAGGAGGAGGAGGGAACTATAGTAAGTGTGAGCCGGTAAGAGTGAGCGTGGAAGGTTAGGTTCACCGTGGTATATTGTGTGTGTAAGTTGAGGACAAGATTATGTTTGGATATTCCTGCTTCTTGTCCTCCTCTTCTCCTTCTTCTTGTCTTCCTCGTCTTACGGCTGTTTTCCACTCATCTCTTCTGTCTCCCTTACCACTCCTTCTCACCCATTCTTCCCCCACTGCCCCTCCCCACTACTCCTCTCCACAACCCCTCCCCACTGCCCCTCTCCACTGCACCTCCCTACTACTCCTCTCCACAACCCCTCCCCACTGCCCTTCCCCATCAATCCTCACCACGATGAGTGTGATGTTCCATAAACTGAGTGGGAGCTTGACGCCGCCCTCGCCAGGGGTAGGTCTACTTCCCCTGGAGAGGACGGAGTCACTTACAACATCGTTAGACTACTATGGCGTGTGCCGGGCAATCCACTACTGGCATTATACAACATGAGTCAAGCCGAGGGCCAACTACCCACATCATGGACCAACAGTATTGTTGTACCAATACCGAAGACAGGACAGCCTGATGTATTTCGTCCCATATCACTAACCAGCTGCCTGTGTAAACCCTTTGAGAGGATGGTTCTTGGCAGACTCTTATATAGAATCAGAGAACACATGTCTCCTAACATAAATGGCTTCACCCATGGTAAAGGTGTACATAATTGCATCACCACATTCCTAACTGTGCATGGTGATGAAAGGCACAGATACACCACATTTCTTGACCTAAAAGCTGCATTTGATATTGCCAATAGGCAACTGATATTGTACTAACTAGCCAAAATGGATATAGGAGGTAGGCTGTTACACTGGATAAGTGGTTACCTAACCAACAGAAGGGCTGCTGCACTGTTTCAGGGTTACAAAAGTGAAGTTAAAGATATGCAACTTGGTACCCCTCAAGGTGGAGTACTTAGCCCCACTTTGTTCAATGTTCTTATGAATGCATTATTAAATTTAATACCAGACAACCCCAGCAATATCTCAATCAGCTATGCTGATGATATTCTTATACATACTAAAACTCATCGTGAAATGCAAACCACCCTGAACCATGTATACGCAGCCTGTAAGAACCTCGGTCTTATTATCTCCACTGAGAAAACTAAGGTGTTCAACAAACAAGCTGGTAACCGCAAACTCGGCCCCGCCAAGTTCAAGATAGCTAACAACACTATTGACTATGTTTCTTCTTTTGAATATCTTGGTGTCTCCGTCCCTTGTACCTTACCTGCCACACAACAGCTAATCCGTCAATGTACTGACAGACTAAGACCTCTTAGAAGTGTAGCGGGGTACAGCCCACACTATGGTGCTAATATTAGAATTGTTAAAACAATGTACCTAGGCTATATAAGATCTCTGATAGATTACCACGCACCAGCCCTGGTCCTTCGTGACGGGAAAGGCGTTGACAAGCTCAAAAAAATGCAAAATAAAGCCCTCAGAATTATCCTAGGATGTCCCATGAGCACTAAAGTACTTAATATGAGGAAAGAACTACTGTAGGTATACCCAGTGTCAAAGATAGAATAATTGAAGTCAACCTCATGATAGCCCTGAGGCTTCTGCGTGGTGATCCTGATAACATTGTTTCCTTAAAGTTGCGAGAATGTGTGAACCATGGGACTACTGAGTCTAAATGGATCCAAACTACAGCTACACATATGAAGATGTTTGGACTAGACCACCTGTACAAAGTCGAGGCACAACAGCGCTTCCTGCCAACCTGGTGGACAGTTCCCTTCGACATCACAATACCGACGTATCCGCCTAAAATATTAATTATACAAAGTATTTATCTCCAACACACTGCCAAAGTGAGAGCTCTTGAACACATACACACTCTACAGACTGATGATAATATTACACAGACCATCTACACTGATGGATCTCTTAACACCGCCTGTGGGAGGGCTGGAAGTGCTATCGTTGTGACTCAGCCTAACGGGAGTTGGAATTAACAACTGGGCATCCACTGTACAAACTGAATTAGTTGCCATGCTTACAGCTAATTCATTGAAACCACTGTCACTGACAGTCTCATCATCATTGATTCTCTATCCTCACTACTTGCCCCAGACACTCGTTTGTCTCTGAAGCCAGCCACAAATATGAATTGAATTGAATTGAAACAGTTTATTTAGCCAGTAAAACACAGATACAGAGTGGATAATAATAACAATATTAACATGGCTGAGCCAGTTGAGAACCTGAGCTCTCTTTTAGGCACCTGATATATACTGT